AACCACAATTGGGGTATTACTCACACACAGCGATGCTATATGTCAAATTTATTTAAAATATCTCCATAGAATAAATATAGACTCACCACTGTCAATATATGGATTACCCATAGGATTAACATTGCCATAGACTTAGCATTACCCCTGTTAACTCTATGCCATATATTTAAATTTTTCATAGGATTAGCATTTTTATATACTTAGCACTGTCCGTAGACTAAAACACCATTTAATAAACTTAGCATTAATCCATAAGAAACCATGTTAAAGCCTCCCCATTTTATTTTATGGGAGTTCCTTCACGGTAAAGTATGCCTATATGGTTAAGTTTACTCATTATCCATGTTAAACCTATGTCATTGACTTAAGCTGTAATCCCATAAACATCCATGTTTAACCGTCCCATGTTAAACCTATGAGAGTCTCCCTATGTTAAAGAATAGCGATAGTATTATCACGGTATCTCATGTTAATTTCCATAAGGTGGGGTGTGAAAGGAAGTCCATAGGTCCAAAAACCACATTCTTCACAAATGAATTATGGTTAAATGAATGGGAGATAGACTGAAAGCCAATAACACTTAAACATAAGTGAGAAACTATTAGGTTGACCTTCACATGGTGTTTCTTGTTTAAATTAAAAGCATAAATTGTGTAATCATTATACAAATACAATTTTAATTGTAAGAAACATTTTTACACATGACAAAATACATCGTTGGAGAAAGGCCTTTAGGAAAGGCCTTTGGACAGGTGTAGCGATGCTATACGTTAACCACAATTCGGGAAATGCATTAAACATTTTAAATTTTTCAATACTATTGTTAGAATAATTTTACTATTATTATTTTGAGAATTTTAAATGTTTTTGACAACAATTAGTTCTATTTATTATGGCAGATTCATTTATAACCCCATTGTCCTATTGANCAACAATTAGTTCTATTTATTATGGCAGATTCATTTATAACCCCATTGTCCTATTGATATACTACAGTACAACTTCTCTTGGGTAAACTTCTCTTGGATGAACACCTCCTCATAATAAACGGTTTTGAAATTTACGTTGGATTTCCTATACTTATAATGTTAAAATAACCTCCCTTATTATAACCTCCGCCGTTCATTATAGAGAAGTTGCACTGTATTACACGTGTTATTCCTATGTCATAGACTTAGCATTGCCCAATCCGAACGATCCTATAAACCACATTATTCATATCTGAATTGTGGTTAAAACCATCTATCTCTTGATAATTTAAGTATATAAATTGTTATTGAGTTTATAATAGTATACGGCTACATTCAAGCGAAAGTATACACCGTAATATGCGAATAAAAACTCACTGGGTGTATATATTTTAAATCTGACTTCAGCATGTTGAAGCCAGATAATGATCAAGTATTTTGGTATACATAAAGTAATATTCAACTATCTTGGTATATTTTAAAAATTGATGTCATTACAGACTGATATTTCCATAGAAAAACAATGGGTACTTATTGTCTAATAAACTGAAAATAAGTAAAATTTTTAAAAAATGCAAATATACGTGTCGACTTATTTTTAACGCTGGTTTGAATGGTGAAGACAGAATTGATCTAGGACTTTTAGTTTTTGCTGTACAGATACTGCTTAATTATAAAGCATATTGTTGAGCTAGGCCAAAAATATTTTGTTATCATATGTACACTATTGTTCCATATCTGTGTATGAAATTATACTATATTAACTTTATTAGTTAGGGAATTATTGCAATTTCATGTGAAATTTTATTTATGTTCGGTTTCTTGGACAACAAGTTTCCATTGTTTTCTATGGAAATATTAGTCTGTAAAAACATTAAATTAAAAAATATACCAAGATAGTTAAATATAACTTTATGTATACCAAAATACTTGATCATTATCTGGCTTCAACATGCTGAAGTCAGATTTAAAATATATTCACCCAGTTAGTTTTTATTCGCATATTACGGTGTATACTTTCGGTTGAGTTTATCTGTATATAGTAACAAAAGCCTAGAATCACTTCTAGGATTATAATTAATATTTTAGTCATATATAATGTGTTGGGGTTTAATGAAATTTGTGATTCATATTTATATTAAACACAAATGATTTACGCTTTAAACCCATTCACTTATCTTTCAAGGGCAAGTAATGATTAGTTAAATGGTAATCTTAATAGTGTATTATAATTAGGGCTGTGACACTTGGTAAATTACAATTTTACCGTGGTAATTTACATGTAAATTACCAAGTTTTCTAAATCTTACATGTAAATTACAACATTTAAACACGTGACTTGTCAGCATTTAAAGAATTTTTGATATTAGTCATATCCAAAATGCCAATAATCAAATAATTAGCAAAACTTAAATTTTGAAAATGAATTATTACTGAATTTATAATTAAAATTGATATAAATGAAAGACAATTATGACTTTATTATTAATAAATATTGAGAAAAATTGCTTTTATTTATTATTTTTGTTTTAAAAACTATAAAAAATTCTGAACTTAATTGTAATTTTTATAGTAATTCTGTAGATTTTAATTATATTACAAGCGATAACTATCGTAATTAGGTATATAATTAATATTTTATAAAGAACTAAACATTAATTTAATTTATTTGTGGAAAATTACCAATTTTACCGAATATTACCGTAAATTACCGAATATTGCCTGTAATGTAAGATTGAAATGAATATTACCGGTAAAGTAACAACCCTAATTATAATTCATTAATATAAAAGTCCTGGCGATTCCTAATATATAGTTTATGGATGTTGTTTACAAACTGTACAAATATAAAAATAACATTATTATTTACATGATACATTTAATGGGAATATGTTTATTGTCAGTACAGTCTAGTTGTTTAAATACAATAACAGTATTATTTATTAGAATTGCGTTTAAATAATGCCACACTTAAGAGAAATGAAACAACAATAATTGCAATATTCATCAAATAACCATGGTAAACATCTGGGTGTTGATATGTCCAACCTCGTGCCATTATATTACGGAAGTATTGTATGGGAAATGCCACCGGATTTATATAGATTATAAATTGAAACATATGGGGAATGGCCTCAAGTGGCCAAATGATACCAGATATTAATAGCAGGGGAAATATAATTGTCATTATGCAAACCTATAAATGTATAACAATTTAAAAACAATTTAATTAATTAATATAATTAATTAATAATTAGTATTAATAAACTTACCATTACGGAAATAGGATTGCCCAAAATAACAGCAAGTAATAGACCGATAAAAGTGCCCACCGTAATTTCTATAAATAAAAACAGAAATATTTCCCAATAACTTCCCGATTGTTGAACGGAAAATATTACAAATACAACAATCATCGCACTTATGACTTGAATTAAATTAATGATAACATTGATGATTATATGGGCGCCCATATACTCGTACTCAGTGACACCGGCAGCAAACATCCGGTTCATTATATTTAACGATTTGTCAGTTATCATGATGAATGCCGATAGAATCAAACCCAAACTAAACTCGACAAATAGCAAGATTTGCGGTCCAACAAACATAAATGTGGACATAATTTTGCTCAACTCGCCGTGATATACCTCAATAACCCTAATTGCGTTCATTTGGTTGTAAATATTTGTATTGTTTACAATTAGACCCAATTTTTCAGTGAATATAGTAAATGCTTCCAATAGGTATCTAACCATCATGGCAAACGCGTGTGGGTCTAATTTGAATAAACATATAATATTTATATAAATAAACATTTTAAATTACGTGTTGCTTTAACTATAATTTATATTTAAAATATGTTAATTACTTGAAATGACTACATATAGATGTATAAGGCTTTGCTCAACGACATCATCGCTGGCGTCAAACATATCCGTCACTCGTGTCTCAAAACTGTCGGAAAAGTTGTCTCGAAACTCAAGCGCCAAATAATTGTCACTTTTGTTACCGACTGAACGGCGCTATCAATCGATGGGTAATGAGTTAAACGCATATTTTGAGAATGTATTGAATCAATAATTAAATGTGATAATGATGTTTGATTGTCATCAATTAGATCGCCATTATATACGCCAACCGGTATGTGTTTAACCTCCTGGCCAAATATCAAGTGCAACGATGTCATTGTTATAATAGTTATAGCATAATAGGCACACATGAATAGCGGCCGTCTTTTAATAGCAATCCATTGCTTTATTAACAGTGCTTTCATTCGTTGCCAATCAATGAACGCATTGTTTTTGCAGTGAATTTTTGTCTCACTTGTTGTCAAAATATTATTGTTTAAATCAATGTCTGTATTGTCTTTGGATTTCAGATCTTGACTTAAAGCAACTCTGTTATCAGTTAAGTGACACAACTGTAGGAACACGTCCTCCAGTGTCGGGCACTCGTATTCATTCATCAATTGTTGGGGATTTGATTGTCTCAATACAGCGCCGGATCTCATAAACGCCACGTTATGCGCACTCCGGGCCTCTTCTATATAATGTGTTGTTATTATCACTGTTTGGCCTAAAATTATACATAATATATAAAGAATATATAATTTTTACTAATCTCATACCGTATTTGTCGCACATATCCTCCAAGTATTGCCATATCCTATGCCTGAGCAGAGAGTCCACTCCAACAGTGGGCTCATCCAATATAACGAGTTTGGGTTTGTGTAACATTGTTATGGCGATCGACACCCGGCGCTGTTGTCCACCACTTAATTGACTAATTATTCGGGAATTTTCCGGTAAATGCAATAATTCTTTTAAATTACAAACATTTTCATCAATTTCCTCGCGTTTCATATGATATATCATTCCGTAATAATTAAGTATTTCTCCGATTGTGAAATAATCAAATAACGCCAATTCCTGAGGCATATACCCGACACCTGGTCCGGGAATATCCAAACCCACAGAACCAGGTTTTTTCTCAAAAACATCAATTGTGCCTGATGTTAATCTTAATTCACCTAATATTACACGCATTAATGTGGTTTTTCCGGTTCCGTTTGGGCCTAACATTGCAAATATTTTACCTGTATAATGAATATAATATTTGTAAAATATTACAAATTATATTTATTTACAAATTATTAATATTTTTAAAAATTCATTTTCATTCATTATATTTTTATGTAATATCAACATTATACTATATTTAGGTAAAATAAATAAATAATATATTGTTTACCTTTTGGTATTTGCACCGTTAAATGATTAAGAATTACATTATTAATATTATAACTAAATACGGCATTTTGTATATTCACAGCCATGTAAAACTTGAAATATTTATCACGATTTAAATTTATCAACAAAATATGTTTAACTGTTTATAAAATGTTTTATGTTAAACTAATATAATGGCTATTGTCGATAAATTCACATTATTGAAATTATATTAAATTATTATTTATATTATTCAAAACATTATAACTTTTGAATACATAAGAAATCAACGCTTTATTAGTTAACAAATAATTGTACAATAACCTTCACATTTTATTTTTATAAAGCTAACAAATTGACTGTTGAGAGAGAGAGAGAGAGAGAGATCACAGGTAAAGAGCACGCAATGCGGTTGTGACGAGAAATCAATCATTTTTTGTCACATTAATTGTAAATTTTCGTTTCATTTTTTGATGCATTAAATGTCATAATATTTAAATAAATACTTGACTTATTCCTAATAAGTCAACCGATTTCAGTCTGTTTTGTATTTCTTTTGTCTAATTTTAAGCAAGATTTACACTATTTTTAATGAGTCTTTGTTTATGTAATTCAAACTCAATTAAAACAAAAAATGCTAAAAACATGTTTAAGTTTTCAAAATTAACTTTTATTAAGACAGACATTACTTAATTTCATTAAAAGTTTAAGTATTTTTTCTTTCTATTAGTTTTAATTTTGTTTTTTTTAATTGTCATTTTATAAATTATTTATTTTTAAAGTATAACTTTTATTAAAAATATAATCTTAGTTAGCAAATATATTTCACAAATTAAATAATTTTTATCTATACTACTTTAATATTTTTAATAATGATATAAATCTAAATTCTATACTGAAGTTAAACAGCAAAACATAATATTCTTGTTTGTATCCATTAATTGAGTGTTCAATCATAGGATTTGCAATGTTTTTCAAATACTTATTTCATAATCATAATAATCATTCAATTATTTTTCCTTCTTTCTCATAGCATTAGGAAACTCATGCATAAAAAACATTATATGTGTTTAATTGACCGAAATTAACATAAATATGAATAAATATACTATTTTCGTAAACGTATAATGATATTGATAATAATAAATAATATTTATAAATAATATGTATATTATACATTTACATTGATAATATCATTATAGTTTTGGAGGACATATTTTTACTATAATTAAAATCTTTTAGAAAATTAATTAACATTTGTTAGCTTAAATATACTGCATATGACTAAAGCCGAGTCATAAAACTAACTCATATGAGACAAAATAAGTTGTGTTTCAATCAGTAATTTTTAATGAAAAATTATTCAAAAATGTTGTGATACTTTGAAAATGTAAACCTATTGGGATAATTTCTGAACCCCTGTGCCATCCCTGGCATCCCTTCTCTGCTCTTTATATAATTAATACTTTTGAAGAACTCTTTGAGTCGTTGTATAAATGTTTTGCTTAACTATTCTTTAAATATCTTCATTTACATGTTATGCGATGTAAAAAAATAACAAAATTGCTTAAATTCAAGTCAGTATCAAATATTTACAAAAGTCTTATTGGATTTGCATTTAATAGTATTAATTCAAATTAAAAAACTTTTTAAATTAATTGTTCTTTTCATTTGAAATAAACTTACCATAACGGAAATGGGATTGCCCAAAATGACAGCGAGTAATAGACCGATAAAAGTGCCCACCGTAATTTCCATAAATAAAAACAAGAATATTTCCCAATAACTTCCCGATTGTTGAACCGAAAAAACGACAAATAAAACAATCATTGCACTTATGACTTGAACTAAATTAATGATACCGTTGATAAATATATGGGCGACCATATACTCGTACTTAGTAACACCGGCCGCGAACACCCGGTTCATTATGTTTGACGATTTGTCACTTATCATGATGAATGCCGATAGAATCAAACCCAAATTAAACTCGACAAATATAATCATTTGCGGTCCGACAAACATAAATGTGGACATAATTTTGCTACCCGGTTCATTATGTTTGACGATTTGTCAGTTATCATGATGAATGCCGATAGAATCAAACCCAAATTAAACTCGACAAATATAATCATTTGCGGTCCGACAAACATAAATGTGGACATAATTTTGCTCAACTCGCCGTTAAATACCTCGATAACCCTAATTGCGTTCATCTGGTCGTAGATATTTGTATTGTTTAAAATTTGGACCAATTTATCCGTGAATATAGTAAATGCTTCAAATAGGTATCTAACCATCATGGCGTACGCGTGTGGGTCTAATTTTAATAAAAATATAATATTTAATTATGTAAATAAACATTTTAAATTACGTGTTGCTTTAACTAAAATTTATATTTAAAATACTTGAAGTATGTTAATTACTAAGGGATCCTTAATATAAAAATTACATATAAAGTTGTACTAAGTAAATACTCTAAAATGTAATTTTCATAATCTAATTCCACGTTTTGTATGTTTTAATGTGATATTATATATCAAAAAAAGGTGATTTCACTCAGCCTTTTTAATTACTTGAAATGACTACATATAGATGTATAAGGCTTTGTTCGACGACATCATCGCTGGCGTCAAACATATCCGTCACTCGTGTCTCAAAACTGTCGGAGAAGTTGTCCCGAAATTCAAGCGCCAAATAATTGTCACCATTTTTAACCGATTTAACGGCGCTATCAAGCGATGGGTAATGAGATATACGCATGTTTTGGGGATTTATTGAATTAATAAATAAACGTGATAATGATGTTTGATTATCATCAATTAGATCGCTATTATATACGCCAACCGGTATGTGCTTAACCTCCTGGCCAAATATTAAGTGAAACGATGTCATAGTTGTAATAGTTAGGGCATAATAGGCACACATGAATAGCGGCCGCCTTTTAATAGCAATCCATTGCTTTATTAGCATTGCTTTCATTCGTTGCCAATCAATGATAGCATTGTTTTTGTAGTGAATTTTTGTCTCACTTTCAGTCAAAATATTATTGGTAAAATCAATTTCTGTATTGTCTTTGGATTTCAAATCATGTCTCAAAGTAACGGTGTTTTCGTTTGAGTGACACAACTGTAGGAACACGTCCTCCAGTGTCGGGCACTGGTAGTCATCCATCAATTGTTGGGGATTTGATTGTCTCAATACAGCACCGGATCTCATAAACGCCACGTTATGCGCACTCCGGGCCTCCTCTATATAATGTGTTGTTATTATCACTGTTTGGCCTAAAATTATACATAATATTTATATAGATATATAACTTTTGCTAATCTCATACCGTATTTCTCGCACATATCCTCCATGTATTTCCATATCTTATGCCTGAGCAGAGAGTCCACCCCAACAGTGGGCTCATCCAATATAACGAGTCTGGGTTTGTGTATGTAACAATACCGCTAGCTGTGGGCCGCGACAACAGGTGGTGAATTAAGCGATTAATGAGCCTTTAAAAGACCATTAACGTCATTAAAAAAATTTAATGTTTGCGAAAGTAGTTAAAGGAACGCTAATATATGATATATCATTCCGTAATAATTAAGTATTTCTCCGATTGTGAAATAATCAAATAACGCCAACTCCTGAGGCATATACCCGACACCCGGTCCGGGAATACCCAAACCTACAGATCCTGCCATTTTGCCAAACACCTCAATTGTGCCTGATGTTAATCTTAATTGTCCTAATATTACACGCATTAATGTTGTCTTCCCGGTTCCGTTTGGGCCTAACATTGCAAATATTTTACCTGTAATTTGAAGAACATATTTGTAAAGTATTTAATATTTTTATATAAGGTTGTTACAAATAGTATTTTATCCGAATCCGAATTTTATTGCCACAATTCGGAAATCGTTACAGGAATTATTATTTTATATACATTATTGTTTGGAAATTTTAGTAACAAAAAATGTTTTATTTGATTATTTTATTATATGGATGATTTATAAAACCCATAATTTTAACCTACATTATATATTTGCATACATATTTGTACTGTGTTTATTATTGGGAGGGTTAGGAATGAGATTGGAGAGAATAGATGTTAAAGTGCAATATAAGCTATAACCGTGTAATATAATTTAAAACATATTCCTATTTGATTTGCAAGAATATATTATCAGTATGCTATGCTACTCTAATAAAGATCGGTTAATTATTAACACATTACACACATAATTTTAACTAAATAAGACTAAATAAGTTTATGACTATCGTTAATTTTGGGCATAAATCAGCCCTATTATGCTGGATTCTTAGAAATTTTTACTAATTTTAATTATATTATTCTCCGTAGACTTAATGATTAAAATATTTTTAAAATTTTGGATAAGCTATCTAATTCCGCAACAATCCAGGACATTTCTGGACATCTGGTTACTTCATATTATTGCTTATTTCATGCATATTGCTGCATGCTGAAAGGGATATTTATAAATTAAAAAAGAATTGGTGAATCCATACCTTAAAATATAAATATTTTACAAAAATTATTACTTTACGATATTTATATTTTTAAATTAGCAAATAACCAATGCATTGAATAATCCGTGTTTTTTCTTTTAGATGATTTTTACAAGACTTAATTTGTTTATTTAAAAAATATTCTGTGATCAGAAACTACATTGATTAGTGAACAAATTAATGTATTAATATAATTTTAATCTCGATTGGTTCAGAAATGGCAGACCTCTAAAGAC